CTGGGAAACGCTTGCTTAGAGCTCATGTGTTTTCTCCTGTAGTCTGGGAATTGAGCACCACCTGCCTCTGCATCATCTGACTGCCACCTGTCCCTCCCCAGACCTGACAAATCAGTCATTACCAGAGCATCCCAAGTCCCACTAACAATAAGAATCTCTGGATGAAGATGATGTCCAAGCCATGGGACAGTGGATGTGGTTTCCCAGGGAGATGACTCAGGATGCAGAGAGAACACTGGCACACCACCATTTGGGAAGCAGATAGAGGTTACAAAGGGTAGAGGTGGGGACCAGTGTGGTTCCCCGTGCGAGCAGTCAACAGTAGCAAATGCAGCTGAGTAGAGTGAGAACTCCGGAGCGCCCATGGGATCTGGCAAGGACGTGATGATTGTTGGCTCTGATCAGGAGTCAAGCTGGCTGTTAATTACAGGTGCAGTCTTACTTAGTTCTTCTTGGCTGGGGCCCTGGGGCAGAGGAAGAGACCAGAACTAAGAAGCACTCCAGAAAACTAGAAGGAGGGTATTTGGAGATGGGCATTCTGCTCAGAGCAAATGGAAAGGAACTGACCGAGCAAGTGCGATTCCAAGTCAGACAGAAGAAAGCCAGTGGGAAATGACACAAACCTACCAGGGATGATGGGGACTCGCTAGATCCAGAAGATAACTGATCAAGCAAGTGCCCTTCAGGGTTTACACAACCAACCCAGCTGTGGCTGTCACTGGAACAGTCACTTTAGTAGCTGGGAGGGAAAGTGTGTTCAGAATCAACCAACAGGGTTTTAATTCCAAACTGAACAGGGCAGTATCTCCTTGGAAGACCCTTTCCTTTTTCTAAGCACACCTTTCCTTATCTATAAAGTGGTGCTAATAAAGCGTAATATGGCCCTTAGTTGGAAGGACTATTGACATTTATTTAATGAACACTACTAAGCATGAGCCAGGCACCGTGGTACACATGGACAGTTCAGCAGCAAATGGCACAGGCCATGCCCTCTTGGAATTTGTCATCTGATGAAAGAGAGAAACATGAATAGATCATAACCAGGAAGCCATGCCATTTGTGATCAGTGCTGTAAGGGGGAAGAAAGGTCAAGTTTATGAGATGCCAATAGTGCATGGGGCACAGCTGACACTCAAGAAATGGTGCTTAGGGTCATCCTTATCATTGGGAAGATGTGTCATGGAATCATTTTCAGTGAAATTTTGAAAAGAGCTAATTTATCTTCAGTATCTGCTGATTTCCTCTAAAGTCTTCCTCTATTGAGGAACTAAAGCACTAGGGCATTACGTTTTCTTTTTTTTCCGTTAAAAATTGTACTTAGGGCTGGAAGTGTAGCTCAATGAAACAAGTGTGAGGACCTAGGTTTGATTCCAGAACTGCAACAACGACAACAACAAATAATACTTAGCACAATTAAATACTTGTAGGAGGAAGGGATCCGATTGTTGGAGAGGGAATGGTATTTACAGGCTTTCAGGATCAGACATGGAGAAGGTACACAGTGTAGCACACAGTGTAAATTTGTATAGCACACAGTATAAATTCACTCTGGAACTTCTTACACATGAAAGCAAAGGTTCTTTTCTCAAACTATCCTTATTTGCTGATGACATGATTCTATATTTAGAAGACCCAAAAAACTCCACCAGAAAACTTCTAGAGCTCATAAATGAATTCAGCAAAGTGGCGGGATATAAAATTAACACCAAAAATGAATTTTCGCATGCCTATACATCAGAGATGAATCAATTGGAAAAGAATTAGGAAAGCTATCCCATTCACAATATCCTCAAAAAAAAATATTTGGGAATCAGTCTAAGAAAAGAGGTGAAAGACCTCTACAATGAAAACTACAGAACAATAAAGAAAGAAGTTGAAGTAGACCTTAGAAGATGGAAAGACCTCCCATTTTCTTGGATAGACAGATTTAATATTGTCAAAATGGCCATACAACCAAAAGTGCTATGTGGATTTAATGCAATTCCTATTAAAATTCCAATGACATTCTTCATGGAAATAGAAAAAGCAGTCATGAAATTCACTTGGAAAAATGAGAGGCCCAGAATAGCCAAAGAAATCTTTAGCAAGAAAAGTGAAGCAGGAGGCATCACAGTACCAGAACTTAAATTATACTATAGGGCTATAGTAATAAAAACAGCAATGGTATTGGCACCAAAACAGACACATAGACCAATGGTACAGAATAGAAGACACAGAGACAAACCCACATAAATACAGTTATCTCATACTAGATAAAGGCACCATAAACATACATTGGAGAAAGATAGCCTTTTTGACAAATGGTGCTGGGAAAAATGGAAATATATATGTAGCAAAATAAAATTAAACCCCTATTTCTCAGCCTGTACAAAACTCTACTCAAAGTGGATCAAGGACTTAGGCATTAGACCAGAGATGCTCAGCCTACTAGAAGAAAAAGTAGGCCCAACTCTCTATCATGTCTGCTTAGGAACTAAATTTTTCATAAGACTCATAAAGCATAAAAAGAAAAGTCAAGAATCCTTAAATGGGGTGGTAACAAACTAAAAAGCTTCTTCACAGCAAAGGAAACAATCAAGAACATGAAGAGAGGGCCTACAGGATGGGATAAAAATCTATGCCTCAGTCTATATATCCTAAGAGCATTAATCTCCAGGACATATAAAGAACTCAAAAAACTTAACACCAAATAATAATAATCATAACCTAATAAATAAACAGGCAAAGAAACTGAACAGACCCTTCACAGAAGAAGAAATATGATCCAGTCAACAAATATATGAAAAAAATGTTTAACACCTCTAGAAATTAGAGAAATGCAAATCAAAACTACACTGAGATTCCCTCACTCCAGTCAGAATGGCAATTATCAAGAATACAAAACAATAAATGTTGGTAAGAATGTGGGGGGAAAGATTCACTCATGTATTGCTGGGGACTGCAAATTGGTGAAACCATTCTGGAAAGTAGTATGGAGATTCCTCAGAAAACCTGGAATGGAACCACCATTTGACCTAGTTATCCCACACCTCAGCATATACCCAAAGGATATAAAATCAGCATACTACAGTGATGTGGCCACATCAGCGTTTACAGCAGCTCAATTCACAGTAGTTAAGCTATGGAACCAACCTAGGTGCTCTTCAATAGATGAATGGATAAAGAAAACGTTGTATTATAAACAATGAATATTACTTAGCCATAAAGAAGAATGAAATTATGTTATTTGCTGGTAAATGGCTGGAACTAGAGACTATCATGCTAAGTGAAATAAGCCAATCCCCCAAAACCAAAGGCTCAATATTCTCTCTGATATGCAGATGCTAACACACAATAAGGGTGGGGGGGAATAGAAATTCATTGGATTAGATAAAGGGGAATGAAGGAAAGGGAGTGGGAATGAAAATGGGAAAGACAGTAGAATGAATGGGACATAACTTTCCTGTGTTTATATATGAATACTCAACCAGTGTAACTCCACATCATGAAAAACCACAAGAATGGGAAGTTATACTCCATGTATGTTTAATATGTCAAAATACATACTACTTTCATGTATAACAAAAAGAATACATAAAAATAATTTTAAAAAGAAAGCAAAGGTTCTTTGTACAGTTTTTTCCACATTTATTAATTGATTAGAAACTGCATGATGCTGATTTTCTCAGGAAAATCAGGAAATCTGTGTAGTAGACTGGCGCCCTTTTTAAAAACTTTTTTTTTTTTGAGCAATGTTGACACAAAGCTTAGTCATTTGGCAGGAAAATTTGCCAGTAAGAGTTGGGAGTGAGTGGGAGAGGCATTTTACCACTTATCAGCCAGAAGAATCCCCGATAATAATCCCACTGGGACAGCACGTTCATGTCAGCCTTAGGATTTGTAATATATTAACTCCATTTTACAGTTGAGGAAATTAAGACTCAGAAGTCAAAGCAGCTCACAAGGTCCCAGAACCCTCACATGGCCTATGCTTCCCAAAGCCCTGTGCACCACACCAAGCTGTCTCAGGAAGAGGAAGAAGCCAGAGGGGACCAAGGTACCAGGTGGCACCTGGGAGGGGTCAGCTCAGGGGCTGCCACCTGCCACCCCAATGGCACTCCTCACATGGCCACACCTACTTGGCAGCAGCCTTTGATCTCTCACGTACACATTTGAAATGAGGAACAGTGTGACCAGGCTCCAGGGAAAAGAAGACAACATGGAAACCTGAGAATTGCTGGCTGGGGCTGTGCCTGGAAAGAGATTTGGGCAGGTCAGTACAGCTGCACAGTTTTGCCAGAACTGTATGTGTGCATGGGGTATGTGAATGTGTGTGTGTGTGTGTGTGTGTGTGTGTGTGTGTGAGAGAGAGAGAGAGAGAGAGAGAACAAGCAGGAATGTTTGTATCTGTGAAGGAGACGTATGTATGCATGTGAAGGTGGAAGTGTTAGTGAGCTGGGGTGTGTTTTTTGCACATGGCTATTCTCGAGAACAAGTGTGTATAAGACTATGTGTCTGGGCTGTGTGCATGGCTGCAGGTCTGAGAGTGTGTACGTGTCTGACTATGCTGCAGGCGTGTGTGTGTTCCACCCAAAGGGGTTCAGGTTAAAGGTGCCTTTGCTCCCTGGGGTTACTCTGAAACATCTGCTACTGACTGACTTAGATGCTAGAGTCGTCTTCTGGTTTTCTTTAAGAGGACCAGTCTGAAGGAATACAGGCCCACAGTTACCCTGAGTCACTAATCCCTCAGAGAGAAATTCCTCCACCCTGGAAGGTATCATTTAGAGACTGTCTCAATTAGCAATCATAACACCTGAAGCTTTGAGCACTTGTATGTTTATCTTTCTCTTCAAGTTCACTCTGTTGGCTCCCTTCACCAGCCAAGTTCAAACAATCTTCTGTCTGGCAGCCACAAAGAACTCCCCAGCCCCCACCCCAAAGTAGTTAGAACCAGACAGAGGTTAGGCCGATTTCCATGATCCCTGTGTGTATTCTGCTGCTGTTTCAAAAATTATGCTTTAGTACTTGCTTCGGCAGCACGTATGCTAAAATTGGAACAATGCAGAGCAGATTAGCATGGCCCCTGTGCAAGGGTGACACACAAATTTGTGGAGTATTTCATATTTTGTGTAGTTCTTAGAAGGTTAGTTGACAATTGTATATTCTTTCCAAGAAGTTAGACTCAAGGTATGATGGATAGCACCCAATATTGAGATTGTGACTTTCATACAAAAATATACATGTAATTGATCTATGAAATAAGAACAGAGTGGAGTTCCATTTGAAATGTTGTGAGTGAATATGTTGATAGTATACACCTTGGAGATGAGAAAGTGTCAACATGTTTCTCCCCTTCATTTACCTTTATAAATAAAGAAAAATAATAAAATTGTGCTTTATCAGGTGCCTACTTCCATAAACTTGTGTTGGCTAACAATATTAAAAACACACATCCAACAGAAATGCGAAAACACACAAAAAAAAACTCAACAAAACTCAACCACAGGAAGAGAAACGTGTTCCCAGGTGTGCATTCTGTTGCTTAATTTTCACTTCTGGTAAAACAGAACCGTTAGAGATGCCACAGTGGGAAACTATCAGATTTAATGATCTAAGAGATGCCACAGTGGGAAACTATCGGATTTAATGATCTACTCTGGATTTAATTATTTTGCTATTTATTTTCCTCAAGCCTCAGTTTCCCCATTGGTAAAAATGGGGACAATGCTAGATGTATCTTCTAGGTTTGAAGAGCAAAATAAGATAATGCATAAAAAGAGCTTAACACAGGCCAAGCACCGAATGAGCAATCAATTTAGCTGTTACTTTCACTGCATGTTAGGATTTGAATTATATCCATATGGCGATTCTTTTTGATTATGTGCACAGATCTAGATGGGATTTCCCCCTCTGTAGCCTGATGGAAAGAGAGGTGAATGGATGTTATTGGAGTCCCACACCAAGTATCCTAGGAGTAGTTGTGGCTTTATGGATGGCAGCAAGGATGCTCAGGCTGCACTGGAGAGTACATGACTTGGGATTTCCTTAATTGTCCCCTTTGTTGGACATTTTGCATGGGCTGGTGTGGCTTGTGGGCTCTGTGATTATCAGGCATGGAGCAAAGCCAAGAGAGATGATACCCTGTACTCCACCATAGACCAGGCTTTGACCGCCTGATGCACGGTCCTGGAAGACCTCTGGGCCTCCTTGAACTGGTGCTCTCCAAGGAACAATAGAGCTTCAAGGCAACCAATCTCAGAGAACCTTCACATCCTGTGTCACACACAGCCTGTAGCACAAATACCGCCACACGCTCTTTACTGAAACAGAATGCCTAGACACACAGTCATCGCAAGCGCTCATTCCTTAGTCTCCAGGGAGTGGGTGAGAGGTGATCCATGAACTGCTCACATATGCCTCAGCACTCAGCTCCCACACATGCAAAAGCCTCCTTGAACTCCCAGCTTCCCCTTGGCGTTGCCTGGGTTTCCCAGGCTCCTGAGGCCAGCACAATTCGTGTTGACCAGTGTGGGGGAGGGGGGCAAGAGCTGTCAATCTAATCCTGCCAGATGAGTTTTCCTTGTGGATGTCTGTCTCCTATTCTCGCTCTCCACCCAGTAAGTGCTTTTTGTCTTCAGCCCCATCCTCTCCTCCCCTCCCAGATCTTCTTGCTGCCTGGCACTTAGTAGGCACTTTATAAATAATTTGTCAAATCAGGATACGATTATAAAGCAAGTGGGCAAAGAAATGAAGTCTACTGCAGGATGAGAAAATGTTTAGAAATAAACCCCTCAAGCCATTGCATTGAGATCCCACAGGTTATAGTCAACTGTCTGTGAACCCCCCAGACAGTTGAGGAGTCCCAGCAGCCAGAGACCAGGTGTCCTGCTCTTGCTGTGACACTGTGTTCTATTTGTTCTTCTCCCTTGCTCTTCATCTATTGCTCTTCTTTGAGAGAGACTTCAGAAAATGAGGAACAGAGGGGTCTGCTTGGGCTTCTGTTGGCCCCATCTCTCACTCGTCCATTAATGAGGGTATAACTTAGGCTGCAATCCAAACCAATAATTGTGGACTGAGTGCCTGCTATGTCGACAGCCAGGTGAAAAATGAGGGAGGGCAGGAAACTCAAGCAGAGAGGAGCCGCATGCAGCTTGCCCACCCCAAATGGTCATGTCCAAACCTCAAGTCATGTCTACACATAGACCTGAGAAGGCAGCAGGTTTGCCTGTGTGCTTTTAGTGTGAAAAATATGTGTGTATGCACTTGTGTGTGCATGCGTGTGTGCGTGTATGTGTGTTTGTCTACTGGTTCCAGAGAAAGCCCTTTTCTCCCTCAGGTAAAAGGGAGAGGAAAGGAAAATGTTATGTAAATAATGAGCCCATAACTACACCCTGTTCATGTATGAAAATTCCAAGAATGATTAAACCTGACTGTGGCTCCAGGATAAACAAAAATTTTACATTGCAATCTCCCAGTGTGCTTGCTCTCTCTTGCTGTCACACACACACACACACACACAATATAATGGTGCATGTCTACCACCTTGAAACTGGCCCGTAAAGAAGGTAGTAAAGTATGATGGAAAGGCAAAACCAACACTAGTCAAAAGATTTGATCCTTGTCCCTGCTCAGTCACTTAACTACTGTCATCCTGGGCATAACAGTTAATTGCTCCAGGGCTCAACTTGTCTATTTTTAAAAAGTAGAATAGTAATATCATTATTTATCTGCTTTACAAGGATGTTGTGATTACAGTTGTGCTTCATAGATTAAAAACACTCATTAGAAGCTGAACTTGTGTGCTTCACATAGTTGAGGACTTCTTCAAAAGTCAACTGTGGAGGGACTGGGTTTGTAGCTCAGTTTTAGAGCGCTTGCCTAGCATGTGTGAGGCACTGGGTTCGATTCTCAGCACCACATATAAATAAGTAAATAAAATAAAGGTCCATCAACAACTAATAAAATGTTTTTTTAAAAAAAGTCAACTATGGACTTCAATATACCTCTTTCAATAGGGAAGAGACCAGCTAGACAGATCAACAAAGAAACAGAAGACTCAAACAATATTATAAGCCAATAATACCTTGTAGATATCTATAAAACATGCTACTCAAAAACAGCATACAAATTCCTAGCCAGTGTGGTGACTGATGTCTGTAGTTTCAATCTCTCAAGAGGCTGAGACAGGAGGAGCACTTGCAATCAAGAGTTGAAGGCCACTCTGGACAACATGGTGAGACCATGAACCATCCCTCCCTATCTCCCACCCCACCAAAAAGGATACACACTTTCTCAAGTATATCTGGAACATTCTTCAGGAAAAACGATATGTTAGCCTATTAAACAAACCTCAATACATTTAAAAAGATAATCATAATAAAAAGAATGTTTTCTGATCATAGTGGAATAAAATTAGAAATGCATAGTTGGAAAAAACTGGGGAAACTCATAAATGTTGAAGATCAAATGACATACTCCTAAGTAACCAATGGATCAAAGAAGAAATCAAAAGGGAAATTAGAACCAAAAAACCCTTGAGATTAATGAAAATGAATTCACAACTTGAGAACTTACAGGATGCAGCTAAAATAGTGCTAAAAGGGAAATTTATAACTCTAGATGCTTTTAAGGAAAGAAGATCTCAAATAAATAACCTAAACTTCCACCTGACGACCCTGGAAAAATAACACGCCAAACTTAAAGCAAGCAGAGAGAAGGAAATAAATTAATAAAACAAAGACTCAAAAACAGAGAGAAAAAAAATCAATGACACAGAAAGCTGGTTCTTTGAAAAGATCAACAAAATTCACAAACATTTAACTTTATTGACCAAAAGTCCCCTGTAAACAGACTTCATTGTAGATAGGGTGTTCACACCATCTATTCATCTTTTACCAAGGCCACAGAGGCTTTGAGAATCCAAGTATTTTGGCTCCACCAGGGCTTCTGACACTCAACTCCTTCATTTACCTGTGATACCAAATCAAATGCTTGTGTATCTACTCTTAGATGAAAAGAAATAGGTAAATGATTGTAGCGAATTTTACCATGAAATTAAGATCCTAAGTCCTGGAATAAGTCAAATAATTTCCTTCTACTTTTTCATGTAAATCAAAAAGTATCTTAGTTAGATTTGCCTAAAGTACTTCTCCAAGTGTTGTACCTGTTTTTTTCTGGTTCCTTGAGAATAACCCAGGGCTATAATAGATGTGGCAAGAAAGAATTTACATGATGTGCCTATAAATAGCCTTTCTCTTTCTGGGTCGTAGTGATTCTTCTGGAATTATAATCCTGGACAGGAAAAAGTAGGGCAGTAGAAGAGCTGGGGCATGCATATATTAGAAAACAAGGTCAAGTTGAGGGAATGAGAATTCCCAGAACACTCCCCACCTCTTTCAGTTTTACAGAAACACTGCTCAGGTTCTGTGCAGCCAAGGAGGCAAGACTCAGAGAAAGACAAACTTGGTATTACAATAACAAAATCAAAATCCCAGAACAGTGCTCTGATGGGGGATCCTCTCATGTTGGAGCTTATGCATTCTCTAGGATCTCATGCGGGGGGCATGGGTTGGGGAAGGACCATTTTCAAACATCCAGATTTTGCTCTTTGTAAATAATAGTTTCTCCCTGGATTGCAGCAACATGATATCACTTCATAACACAAGTTGAGCTTACTCTTCTCTTTAGTGTGTATTTCGTTTAGCTAATGAGAGTGTAGAACTTATAGGCAGCGAGGGTTTTTGATCTATTCAAGTGAGCTTGAGCTTGGGTCAGGAGAAGGAATATTGAGACTATAATAATAAAAGATATTATGCATACATACAACTGTGTATGTGTGTGTGTGAATGTGTGACAGACAGATGATTGGGATTGAACCCAGGGCCTTGTGGATGCTAGGCAAGTGTTCTACCACTGACCTCATCCCCAGTCCAACAGACAATATTTATTGGGCACTTGGTATATTCACGTAGTGTTTGAAATATTTTATTGAATGAAATTGCTTAATTTTCTCAAATACTCTAATTTTCTCAAATACTGTATTGTTGCCAGTGCTGACTCCATTTTATAGATGAAAGAACTAAGACAGGGAAGTTAATCAGTCCAAGGTCATAAGCAGGTCAGTTGAGT